CATAAAACAACATGTGTACTTCTGTTTCATGAGAAACTGTTTGTTCTGTAAGCCTTCACCTGAAGTACAATAAAGAATAAATAAAAAAAAGTTTTTAAATATTAAAAAAAAAAATACAACTTAATCCTATAGATTGAGTCCTGCCTGATTAATATAACTGCCTCTAATCTTGCCTCATTAACATCATAGAGGTTAGGATTTACAACACATAAGATAAATACATCAGGTCACAAAAGGGAGGACAACCACACAATACTAGGAATCATGGCCTAGCCAAGTTAACACACATTTTTGGAGGACACAGTTCAATCCATAACATTCCATCCTTTGGCCCCCCCAAAATTCATGTCCTTGCCGTATGTAAAACACATTCACTCCATCGTGTCATCACAAAAGTCTTAAATCAACTCCAAGTCTGAATTCCGTCCTGGGGCAAAATTCCTCTTCATCTGTGAAATCTAGAATACAAGTTATCTGCTTCCAAAGTACAATGGTGGAACAAGCACAAGGTAGACATTACAAATGGGAGAAACTGGAGAGAAAGAAGGGATGACAGGCACCAATCAAGTTAACAGAACACATTACATTAGCTCTCAAAGCTTGAAAATAATCATCTGTTCTCTGAGACCATTTAGGCAATGGCCCTATCCTCCAGACTGGGTGTTGGCCATACTCTCTGGATTCTGGGTGGAGGCCTCTTGGCCCTGGGCTTCAGCTCTCCCTTTCAGGCCCACTGGAATGACAGCTCTGCTCCCTTGCATTTGGGCAGCTCCATTCTCCTAGTCTATCTGAGTAGTGACCCCTCCCCCTCTGCCGCCACAGGCCTCGTTCTGCCCGGTGGGCATGGCAACCCTGACCCTCAGTTTTCGGCAGCGGATCCAGCCCCATCTCGCTGGCATTTATAAAAGGCAGCCACACACTCCGGAACTGAGTTAGTGAAGATGACTTTTTGAAACCTAGGAGGCCATGGCCCCACCCTTTGAGACCCCACAGGTCGTGGCCCTACCCTTTGAGACTGAGGCAGCTCTCCTTCCTATGCTCCTTGTATTCAGCTTCTGCTTCCTGGTTCCTTGGCCTCTTGGCCCTCCTGGCCTCTTGGGCTGACCCCGCCTGTGCCCTGCTCAGGCAAGTGTTCCAAACATCTTTAGCTCTACTGATAAGTGCTTGGAGGCATCCCACTCTGCCAATAAACCTCGGCCAGAAGGCACTTGTCTGTCTCCCTCCATGGGTTGGCAAGCCTACCCCCACTGGTAAGTGCCCATAGGCACCACGCTCTACCAGCAAGCCTCGTGCCTGAAGGCAATCATCTCTCTTGTTCCGTGGGTCGGCTCTCACAGCCAGTCTCCTGGTTCTGCTGCTGCCATTTCTCTGCTGCTGCTTCTCGTCATCTATACCATCTCTGGTGTTACAACTCTCCTCACTTCCTTCTGAGCCCTCACCAGATTGTCTTTGGTGTCCATAATTCCACCAACAGTCTCTTCAAGGAAATCTAGTCTTTTACTATTAGGCACTTTAAAACTCTTCCAGCCTCTACCCTTCATAGTTTCAAAACCACTTACACATTGTAGGTATCAGAGCAGTACCCCACTCTCCTGGTACCAAATTCTCAGTTATCTAGTGCTGCTATAACAGAAATACCACGAGTGGATGGCTTTAACACAGAGAAATTTATTCTCTCATAGTCTAGGCGGCTAGAAGTCCAAATTCAGGGAGCCAGCTCCAGGAGAAGGCTTTCTCTTTCTATCAGCTCTTGGAGAAGGTCTTTGTCATCAATCCTCCCCTGGTCTAGGAGCCTCTCAGCACAGGGACCCTGAGTTCAAAGGATGCACCCCACTCCTGGTGCTTCTTTCTCAGTATTATGAGGTCCCATCCCTCTCTACTCGCTTCTCTCTTTTATATCTCAAAAGAGATTAACTCAAGATACAGCCTAATTCTATATATTGAGACCCACCTCATTAACATAACTACCTCTAATCCTGCCTGATTAACATCATAGAGATTAGGATTTACAACACATAGGATAATTACAACAGATCACAAAATGGAGGATAATTACATCAGATCACAAAATGGAGGACAACCACACAGTACTGGGAGTCATGGCCTAGCCAAGTTGACACACATTTTTAGGGGACACAATTCAATCCATAAGTTTCCCATCTCTGCTTCTTTAAGAAGTAAAGACTCCCAATTCCCTTAGCATTGTATTTAATTAAACTTTGGATGCAGCAAGCCTGCCAGAACTACCATTGGAAAGTTTTTTGGGGGAGACTAGAATAATAGAACTACAGTGGACCACTGAGACATCTACTTTGATCTTTTCATTTAGCAGATGAGAAAACTAACACTTGGTGTGATAAAATAACTTACTTAAGATTACATGGGTAGCTAGTTGCTGAGCCCAAACTTGAACATAAATCCCCTGAAAGAGAAGTCCACTGAACTTATTTAAATCTACTTTTACATGCAAATCTCCCACTGGACAGCATGACCTGCATTTTGAAGTTCTTTCTTGTCCCCTTTGTCCAGTCCTTCACAACTATTTTGTTCTCTGCTGTAGCACATTCAGCCATTCAGTTAAATAAATATGTCTTGGATTCTTACATCTGCTTGGCCCTGTGGATGACACAAAATGGATGCACCAAGGTCCATGCCTTCACATTGCTTACAGGCTAGTTGGAAGACAACTGGATATGCTGATAACTATAAAATTAGGCAGGAAGTGATATGAGCACCATCAGAAGTACAAAATGCTGTGGTATTCTAGGAGAGAGAGAGATTATGTTTGGCAGAGGGCAGGGGGTTAGATGGGGCAGAAAAAGCTTCCTGAAAGATATAGCAATGAAGATAAAATGGTGTCCATTTCTCGGTGGAGTTAGGAAGGTACAAGGCAGGTTTGGGGAATGAGAGGTTATCCAGTTTAAAGAACAGGATGATAGGGAGGTTAAGACTGGGGAGGTTTGTGGAGGACAGATCAGAAACTTTTAATGTCATTAAAAGGCAGTTTTGAAGGCAGTGGAGAAACAAGAATTTTTGAGCAATGGAAATTAAATGACAAGATGAGCTTTAAAAAGATAAACAGTCACCTTATGATGTTGCTAGGGAGATTACTTAGAAGACTCTTGAAGTGGTGCAGTCAAGAGATAATGTTGGCAATGAAAATGGAAAGGAAGTGACAAGTACAAGAAACATGGCAGAGGTGGCCCCTACAGGACTGTTTGAGTCTGCTCAGCAAAAGGAGAGGAAAACAGCAAAGGTTAACACCAAGCTTTCAATCTGAATGACTTGGAGAATGGTATGACATTTTCATCAATAGACATTCAAGAGAAGGAAAAGTTTAGGGAGGAAGAAGTTGGTAGGTTTTCTATTGTACATATTGAGTTTGTGATTCCAAAGAGGACACCCAGATGAAAGAGTCTAGTGCTGATGGAAAAGCAGGTCTGAAAGCTCAGATGAAGGGTTCACCTTGGAGGTTCTCACAGTTCAAACTGTGCAAGTGGTTGATGTTGCTGAGTTGAGAGGAGGGAGTAAAGACAAGAGTTGATGAAAGTTAAATTTAAGGACCAGGGAGCCAAGGCAGGAAGAATTTCAGGAAAGAATTGAGAGTCTGCATTGTTATCTACTGCATGAGTACTGAGAGGAAAAGACTACTGGTCTTCAACATTTTAAATTCTTAATGATTTTGTTGCCTTTAATTTTAGGGGATAGTTTCTTAGGTTTCTGAAAGTTAATTAAAAAAAAAAAAAAGTTTCCATAGCGACCCTATAGGACAGAATAGAACTGCCCCATAGGGTTTCCAAGGAGCGGCTGGTGGATTCGAACTGCCAACCGTTTTTTTAGCAGCTGAACTCTTAACCACTGTTCAGGGCTCCCTGAAAGTTAACAGGCACTTATTATTCTTGGTCTAGGTGCCTATCTATACTCAGAAACCCACACACACTCCATGTCTGGTGTGTTAAGATGTCTTTATTTCTTACCACATATCCAGTGTGAGTCTTTGTATAAAGTGGAATTTTATGAAAAAAGTGTGTAATACATGGCTTCTGTCAAGGTCCTTACTGGCCTTTTGGCCTGAAAGCCCCCCGTCTGTCAATACTGCTCCTCACCCACTCAGCCTTTCGTTGCCTCTGCTACTTTAATGTGCTCTGTACTCATGCTGCCTCTTCCTGAAATTGTAGATATGCCCTAGAGGTGAGTTGCCATTTCTAATATAAACATCAAAGGAGGCCAATCAGAGAATGAATGTAAGGAAGGAAGGGAGAAGGTGCTAATAATACACTTTGGTTTCCAGGCACCATGCTAGGTGCTTTGCCTTCATTATCTCATTTAATCCTCATAATAACTCTGTGAAGTAAGCAGTATTATCCCCATTTTACAGATGAGGAAACTGAGACGCAGAGAGGTTAAGTGGCTTGCCCAAGATCACACAACTAGTAAGTAAGTGTGGACTCAGATCTGTCTGGTTCCAGAGCCTGTGCTCTTTCCGGTTATACTATACTGAGGCTCTGAGTTTAGAGTTCCAAAGTTGGTATATAGGCCCAAGAGTCATAGGGAACCTCTGCTGAGCATTCTGGGGGAAGCCAACTTTGTGATGTAATATATATGCTATGGCCCTTGCTGATACAGGTGTCATTTTTGCCTTAAATTTTTTAATTTTTCACTCACCTTTCTAGTTCTTCCTAAGAAGAGCTTTACTTTCTATATAATTTGCGTTCTTTTAAGGTCTACTAAAAACAAAGATTAATTGTCTCTGGGGAGTACAACTGGAGATGAAGGGGGTGGGGCAGGAGGCCATTGTTTTTTATTATAAGTCCTTCGGCACTAATAGATTTTTTTAATCATGTCTATACATTACTTTGATAATTAAGTATCAGTAGGTATTGAGATACAGTATCAAATACTATGAATGCACAAAATAATTCACTTTGTTAATGACTGTGAAGTACATTTTTATAAAATCACAAGACCTGTATTTTGTGCATGTGTTCTTTTATATGAAGGTTCGCAATGAGTTTTACAAGGACACGCAGGGCGTGATACTGGTTTATGATGTTGGGCAGAAAGACTCCTTTGACGCTCTTGATGCGTGGCTGGCAGAAATGAAGCAAGAGCTTGGACCTCATGGAAACATGGAAAACATTATATTTGTAGTGTGTGCCAACAAGGTAACTGGTTTGGAAATGGTATCAATTTTCTAGATTCATTATGGAAAGAGTGCAGCTCTGCATTTTGGATAACAAATAAAAAGAAAGAATAATCTCTTATTCTGTAATACAGAAATCAACAATCTTTTAAAACATGTCTCCCTAAGACAATAACAACAAAAAAACAAAACCTAGATTTTTCTCTGTTTTTTTTCCTAGTCTCATAGTCAGGGGAGAATATTGGTAACTGAGCAGGAGAAGTAGATTCTAATAGTCACTCTCTGACCTGATCAAAGGAGGGCATTAATTAGGTGAAATGTGGACTGTGGAAAGGTATGAGAAGTGGACCTTGACCCTTGAATGTGACAGGTATGATGAGGTCGGCTTTCACAGAGATGAGTAGCAGCTGTTTTCCCATGGGTTAAAGAGGAAGTACGGTAGCAGGCACTAGTCCTTTTGCCACAGAAGATCAGTCTACGTTCAATATTAGTATTTTTGTTCTTTTTGGTCCTAGCAATTTTTTTTTTCACTAGTTCTGGGGTTTATTAACAATAGTTTTTGCCTCAATAAAGGATAGACGAAAACCTCACTGTGCCTGTTCTGGTAGGACAAGGCTGGAATCTTCTCTCTACCTCCCAACTTTCTATTTCAGATTGATTGTACCAAGCACCGCTGTGTAGATGAAAGTGAAGGGCGTCTTTGGGCTGAAAGCAAAGGGTTCCTGTACTTTGAAACTTCAGCACAAACTGGAGAAGGAATCAATGAGATGTTCCAGGTAACCTAGCATATTGTCATTTTAGGTTCAAGGCTGTGACCATACCAAATTTTAGTTTAAATAATGAAAATCAAAAAAGTAATAGGCATTTCCCTTTAGAATAGGCTCTTTCTTTCCAGAAGCTAGAGAGTGAGTAAGTGAGTGTATGTGTTTTGTCTTCTGTCTGTTTCTAAACCAATAAATTCTAAACCTGGATAATCATCACAATTACCTAGGGAGATTTTTCAAAATAGATTTCTGGGCTCCAGACCTATTGGAAGTTCAAAGTTGTGATGGAGCCCAGGAATCTATATTTTGTAAAAGCTCTCCGGGTAATTCTGATGATCATCAAGTTTAAGAACAAATATCACACACTAAAGCAGGACAAAGATGTTCTTCAAAACCACCTTTGGCTAATGGTGTTTTTATACATAATCAAATGGAAGTATTACTTTGGCAAAATTTTCTTGCCACACCTAGTATAATCCTATATTGTAGCCCACAGAGGTGCAATTAGAGAATTAATAGATTATCATTGCAGAATCCGCCAGTCACACACACAAAAAAAAGATCTCAAGTAAACGAGAAAAGGATGTACTCACATTGCAACCTGATTAGATGGTCCCCTTTTAAAACTATTAATCTTGAATAATTTTAAGGAAAGGAGGCTATTTAAAACCAGAAGTTATAAGTCAACTCTCAATTATAGATACATTTGGAAGAAAGTGGTAGCATGAATAATGCATTTTTCTTCTTATAAGTACATCTGATATTTTGGGAATTTTTAACATTTCAAATAATATAACCATGCTGTAAAGAGTTGTTCTTAATTATTGAGTGGGATTTTATCTCATCTTTTATGCTGAATTTCCTTCTCACAAGATGTCACCCCTTCTTCTAGAAGACAGGTTTCATCCTTGGCTGACAGGCTGAATTGGGTGTCAGTAATTTCTACTTCAAGACCAAATAAGGTTGATGTTAATTTGCCATGCTTCATATTTTTTTTTGAGTACATAGATCTGTGCAAGTTTGTACCAGTACATGTATGTGCACTAACGACGATCATTTGAGTAGTATTTTAGAATTCTGGAGAATTTTAATTACATGTTTTATCTCATCTGAGGCTCATAACAACAATATAACCAAAAAAAAAAAACCTGTTGCCGTCAAGTCAATTCCAACTCATAGCGACTATTGGACAGAGTAGAACGGCCTCATAAGGTTTCCAAGGAGTGGCTGGTGGATTCGAACTGCCAGCCTTTTTGGTTAGCAGCCGAGCTCTTAACCACTGTGCCACCAGGGCTCCAACAACAATATAAAGCAGGTATTATGCTTATTTCATACATGGGGACTCTGAGGCTAAATTAGTAAAGTGACTTGTCCAAGAGGTATAAATAATAACAGCTAAATATGAGATTTTTCAGCACTTTAAAGATATTGTTCCATGGTTTTGTAGCCTCAGTTGTGTCTCATCAGATGTCATCATTGTTTCTTACTCATTCCTCTTTATATCATGTTATCTTTCTCTCTCCTCTCTTTCTCTCTCTAACTGTTTTAAAAAGTTCATCTTTGGTTTTCAGCATTTTGACTATGATGTGCCTAGGCATGATTCTCTTTATATTTATCTTACTTGGGGTTTGCTAAGTTTCTTGGATTGGTAGGCAGACGTTGTTCATCATATTTGGGAGATTTTTGACCACTGTTTCTTCAGTTATTTTTTACTGCCCTGTTGTCACTCTCTTCCCCTTCTAGGACTCCAATTACATGTATATTGGACTATTTAGTTTTGTCCCACAGTCCCTGAGCCTCTGTTGATGTTCCTTCCATTTATTCCCTCCATTTTTCAGATTGGATTGTCTCTATTGATCCGACTACAGGTTCACTGTTAATCTGCTGTTAAACCTACTAAACGAAATTTTCATTTCAGTACTTTTCAGTTCTAGAATTTGAATTTGGTTCTTTTGTGTAGTTCCTAGTTCTCACTCATTAAGATTATATTTTTTTCTTTAATTCTTTGAATATATAGTAGTTGTTTTAAAGGCTTTTTCTGCTAAGTCCAACATCTGAACCATCTCAGTTCAGCTTCTATTGACATCTATTTTTCTTGATTATGGATCACATTTTATAGTCTCTTTGTATAAATAATTATTTCCAGTTGGACACCTGCATTGTGGATAATACATTGTATAGATTTTAAATTTTGTTATCTTCCTCTGAAGATTGTTGATTCTTGTTTTAGTAGGCAGTTAAATTACTGGCAGATTACATTGAACTTGTGTACCGATTGCCGTCAAGTCGATTCCGGCTCATAGCGATCCTATAGGACAGAGTAGAACTGCTCCATAAGATTTCCAAGGAGCAGCTGGTGGATTTGAACTGCCAGCCTTTTTGGCTCACAGCCATAAAATGCCGTGGCTTTTAACCACTGCACCACCAGGGCCCCCATGAACTTGTGTATGATTTGTTTTTTGCTTTAAGAGCAAGAATCTGAAGGAAGCCCATTGTTTTCCTCAAGCCCTTATAATTTGGCAGGCCTCAGCCTCCAAATTCTGTCTCTCTTGCAGATCCTGCCAGCTCTTAGTTTTAGGTTTTGTAAAGATAAGCCCAATTCCTAAGGTACAGCCTTTTTGGTATCTCAGCTAGATGCTAAGAGTAATAATGAGGTGTTAGGGTAATCTTTTCACACTGGCAAGGCACAACTCTTCCCCTAGCACCGCTTAACCTCTAGTATATTAGTTCTTTTCTCAACTCCATTGCATCTGCTATATGGTAAGCCTCAAGTGATCTTACCCTGTGCGTGTATAGCCTAGCTCTCAGTACAAACTAGTGGGGAGCACCCACATGGATTTGGGGGGGCCCAGCTCTGCACAGCTCTGTTTCCATTGTGCTGCTCCAAAGATTCTAGCCACTTCAGCAGTCTCAAACTCTGATCTCTGCCTCCGTAGCTCAGTGGGACTTTGTGTCTGCTCACACTTTGTGTCAGCCTACACAAGTTCAAGGGGCCCTGGGGGTGCAGTGGTGAAGAGCCACAGCGTGCTACGGCTGCGAGCCAAAAAGGTTGGCAGTTCAAATCCACCAGCCGCTCCTTGGAAACCCTGTGGAGCAGTTCTACTCTCTGTGGCATGGTCAGAAAACTCCAGGCAAAGAAACAGGTGATTGTGGAGCTTACCTTTCAGGAATCAAAAGTCTTGCATAGACTATCATCCACTGCCTGAACGCAGTTGCCTCATATATTTTTTACATGTAGGTTATGGCAGGAGGTTTAGTACAGTACCCATTACCCCATCATGGCTGGAACTCAGACATGAAGTTTAAACAGAGAGTTTTGACTTCCATTCTAGTGTTCTGTATACCTCACCACAGCTGATCTTCTCCAACTTTGTGGGTTGTAAATGAACACTTGTGTCCTCAGAAGTCTGTGAGCTTTTATATTTCAAGTTAGCTCATAGGCTAGAAGAAAACCTGACTGATAAATTTCTCACACTGATACTACTAGCAAACATCTGTGAACCATGATCCTTTTTAGATGGCTTTTATCCTTTTACATAAATCTTGGGTAGAACTAATGGATAAATTAGTCTGTTTAAAAAAAGAAGGCTAACAAGAATACTATAATCAAACTATTCTGTAACTAAGCACTTAAAAGTAGTACTTTCCTGTTGGTTCTATTTAGTAAGTATTTTCCTTGTTTATTTAATAGACATTTTATATCAGGAAGGAACTTGGTTTTGTCTTATTCACACTGTTAACAGAGAGAATAATATTAAGATAGACTAAAACCAAGATAACACTTCTTTTGTCTTGGTATCTAATGGCTTTTCCTTTGACATGCCTTCTCATATGTCAAGACTCCTTGTTAGGTTGCCAAGTCGATTAGCTATTATTGGAGATAAGAAAGAGGAGTCTAATAGAAAGATAAAATTTTTAGAAGATAATAGGACCTATAGAAATCTCTGAAAAATAGAAGAGGAAGAGATTAAAAAAGAAGTTGAGGGAAGAGAAGATATATCAATTTAAAAACAGCACTAATGTATTAATATTTTGAGTGGAATCATTCAACAGTAATAACAGTGCACAGAACATAAGACATGAACAGAATCAAAAAATAGTTTTCACTAACAAACCATCATAAGGACAAAGAATATGAACAGCCATCTTTCAAAAAATGAAAAGGCCGATAAACATATGAAGAGATACTCAGTCTCACTTATGATTAAAGAAATGTAAATCAAAACTGCAAGATACATATCACATTGGCAGAAATTAAGATGTATGATAATATCCAGTGTTGACGAGAGTATGGGGAAATAGGCAGTCTCATCCATTTTGATGGGAGCGTAGACTGGTGTAGCCTTTTTGGAGGACAGTTGTCAAATCAAAAATTAAATATACTCAGCATTTCTGCTTTTAGGAATTTATCCTAAAGTAGTATCCCCACAAATGTGCAGAGATGTAGACACAAAAAATATTCACTAAAGCACTGTTTGCAGTAGCAAAAAATTGGAAACAACCAACTAGTCCAAGAATAGGAAATTGGTGAAATGAATTGCGGTACACCCACACAACAAAATACAGAGCAGTCATTGAATGGGGAAGGGTTGTGTCTGCAGCTATAGAAGGAGTCCAAGGTATATTATTATGTGAAAAAAAGGATGTGTTTAATGTGTTTAATTGATCTCTCTTATGTAAATGTTTAAAGGATGTGGATGTGTGTATGTACTGGCATACTGATAGAAAATTTTTCTGGAAAGATACTCAAAAAATATTAATGATGATAACCTTGAGGAGAGGAACTTGAAGGGTAGGGGGACATAGTTTTCATTTTACATTTTTCTTTACCATTTGAATTTTTATTGAGGTAAAATTCACATAACACAGAATTAACCATTTTTAAGTGTACAGTTCAGCAGCATTTAGTACATTTACAATGTTGTGCCACTACCACCTCTGTCTAGTCTGAAAACATTTTCCTCACCCCAAAAGGAAGCCCCATACCCATCAAGCACTCACTCCCATTATCCCCTCCCCTCAGCTCAAGGCAACCATCAGTTTGCTTTCTGTCTCTATAGATTTACCTATTCTGGATATTTCATATAAATGGAATCATACAATATGTGACCTTTTGTATCTGGCCTCTTTGACTTAGCATAATGTTTTCAAAGTCCATCCACATTGTAGAATGTGTCAGTACTTCGTTCCTTTTTATGCCTGGTTTGGTTATGTGGATATACCACATTTTGTTTATTCATTCATCGGTGGATGGACATTTGGGCTGTTTCCACCTTTTGGCTATTGTTAATAGTGCTTCAGTGAACATTATATACAAGTATTTGTTTGAATACCTGTTTTCAATTCTTTTGGATATATATCTAAGAGTAGACTCACTGGGTCATATGGTCATTCTACGTTTAGCTTTTTGAGGCTGTTTGAGTTTTTCTAATAATATTCATCTACTACTTTTTAACCTTAAGTGAGATTATCTGAGTGTAGGATTATGAGCCACTTAAATTTTATTCTTTATGGTTTCTCTGTGTTTAAAAATATATATATATATATAGTATAAGAGAAAGAATCTTCCAAAGTACATATTTGCTTTATTTATAACTTTTAAGAATTATTAGAATATTTTAAAAAGTCTCTGAATTGATACTTAACAGGAATTCCTGTTTTCATAAAATTAGTTCTATTATGAGATGTGTTTTCTTTTTGTAGACCTTTTATGTATCCATAGTTGATTTATGTGAAAATGGTGGGAAACGTCCTATCACAAACAGCAGTGCTAGTTTCACCAAAGAACAAGCAGACACCATTCGCAGAATTCGAAATAGCAAAGATAGTTGGGACATGTTGGGAGTCAAACCTGGGGCCTCAAGGTAAGCAATACTCTAGGATACTTAGTGCTGAGTTGTATTATAGAGAAAAACTTAGTAGTCAAAATTATAGATGCAATAAATCTTGTAATTGGCTATAAATACGAAGATGTGTGGAAATATATCAATATATCAACCTTAATGAATTAATTCACTGAATTAATTGAATAACAAAGAAACAAAACAGAGGGCAGAGCTGTCTGATAAAGGAACTATATAATGTATATGCATAAATACCTTATGCTTTGCTTTTGTGTGTGTTGAAGAAGAGCCTTGAAGCTAATGTAACCTTAAAAAAAAAAAAAAAGCGTGGCAAAAAAGAGAATTCTCCAACCATAGAATTTTAGAGAAGGGAAGAGTGCTAGCAATCAGTTTGCCCAAACATTTCGTTGTATAGGTTGGAAAACTAGGACTCAGTGAGATTGAACACACTTCCAAGGACCCCAGCAAGTTAGTGATAGAATTGGCTCTTGACCTTGAAACATTTGGACACTTATTAATGTGTCTGCCTGCCTGTCTCTCTCTCTCTCACACACACACATCCTGTTAGTTCCTCTGTGTGTGTATTTGTGTTAGATTATTTTATTTTAGCTAGTTATTTTTCTCCCAAAATAAGTATTCAGGAAGAAAAGAAATACAACCACTATTCCTTGTTGCTTGTGCAAAATACATTATTATTCAGTAAGGTTATATAACTTTTAAAGATGTAATAATACTGTTACTACGCATATTATACGGAGCCCTGGTGGTGAAGTGGTTAAGAGCTCAGGCTGCTAACCAAAAGGTCAGCAGTTCAAATCTACCAGCCGCTCCTTGGAAACCCTGTAGGGCAGTTCTGCTCTGTCCTGTGGGGTCACTGTGAGTTGGACTTGACTTGATGGCACACAACAGCAACAACATGCATATTATAATGTGTAAGAGCTCTCACTTTTTATTTTGCATTATTGCTTTCCTCCTCATACTTCTCTCTTTCTACTTTTTCACCTTGATGTTCACAAAACAAAAAGGTGCGTCTTAAAGTTGCATTGTAGGCACCAAAAGCATTAAGTATCTCTTTTCCGTATTAGTCTCATAGCATATCTTAAAGTCCAGAAGGAAAGAGGGGAAGGGAAGAAGAAGACAGTTATTAGTCACCCTTCACTTGCCAGGCTTTATTGAGGATGCTTTAAACATGGGAAAGAATTCAGATGGCCTCATGTATATACACAAAGTTTATTGATATCTTTTAAATATCTTTTTAGACCTCCATAGTCTTATCCTATACTCCTCCATTCATCTCCAATGGATACTGATGCTAAAATTAAGAAACCATTACTTTGTATACTTACAAATTAACTTAGAAGAGTACTCATTAAGGAAAGGAAATTTTTAATTCCTTATTTATTCCCCGTGATTTATTGGAACCTAACAAAACTTACAGGACCTCCATAAGTTCCATAGTCTTAACCAGTACTTCTCTAACCTTTGTCCACTGGGTCTGTCAAACTAATTTTGTATAGTATTGAGCACATGTGGGAAAAATGTAAAAACATTTTTTTTTAAGTTATAAAGAGTTTTAATGTTCAGTGCTGTGTTTACTGTTCTTGAATTTTAAGAAAATCTTCACCTTCAACAGAATTGATAATATTCATTACATACCTCCATCAGTCTTGTTTTTCCAAAAACTTTCCATGAGCGTCTCTCCTGCTACCTAGTACTCTTGAAAGGCGCTTTTAGTCCAGAGGACAAGACTCACTCACTGGGAAGAGAGGCAGCTGTATCTGGCTTAAGGTCAAAGGGTCTTCTGGAAAAACAAGAATTCTGGCAATTCAAATTTCTTCAAAGACGGAGACTATGACTTGTCAGCTAATATCAAAATTATCTATGTAGAAAAACTACAAGCAAGGTTTAAGCAAGAAAAATCAGAAGGACACTTCTAAGATCAAGGAAGCCCTAGCTTTCTTTAACAGAAGGAAACAGTCTGCTGCTAGCTTCTTTGGTGTATGGATAAGCACAAGAGATGTATGTGGAAAACATGGGAATCAGTTAACGGGGCCCTATAATATCTCTCCAAGTTGACACATAAGACTTTCTGTCACATCCAAAGTATCAAAGACCATCTCTCTAATGTGGAGAGATCAAATTAGAAATCTTTCTGATTTAAAAAAAAAAGGAGAAAGGTTAGGAATTTGGGGAAGCACCATACCCATGCTTATGGGATAACTGGAACCCTCAATTACAAATGGAAGATGGGAAATAAAACTAGCTGGTAGAGACGGAGCTCAGTCTGACCAGGGGTATGACTGGGTACTTAGAACTCTCCCCAGTTTGGGTCAGGTAGAAAACCTGACAACAAAGGATGACAGGAGAGCAGGAAGAGGGAAGGATACAGTCTCCAGTACCCTTCCGGATGAGTTTCCTGCTCACCGAGAAGCCTGAAGATCTCTCCTGGAGATCTGCTGGTTTCCAGACAGTGCCTGCTGAGCTTGAAGAAACATTGTTACTGCTCCTTCCTCTCTGGGCAACATTCTCTCCCCTGATCCTTCTTTGGTCTCAGTGTCCCTCTCCTGGCCAGTGGGCTCACCGTCTTCCTGGGCCTCAGATCTCATGATACTGGAACTCATCTCAGCCCCTTTCTGTTATAGCTCTCCACCTGTATATTCAGCTCATCAGCTACTTCTGCCAGTTCTTTCTTTAGATTATCTCTCTTATCTTCTCTTGTTTGTTTCCACAAACACCTTAATCTAAACTCTTGTACCTCATGCCTTAATGTTATTGTAGCAACCTCCTATCTGTCTCCTAACTTCAAGAAACAGCTTTGCCAAGACCATTGTGTCATGCAACTCCTACTGTGATTGTCAAATCCACTTTTTTGTTGTTGTTTTGTCTTCAAGGCATTTCACTTACTGACCCCTGCTCCCTGGCCAACATTGTTTCTTGTTACTTCTCTGCCCAGTTTCCTCGTGGGACTTCGTTCCATCTCCATGCTCCGTGCCCAGCCTCTGTCAGTTCTGTTTCCCCAGGTGGCCTGGTGGCCTGTATTTCCCCATCGCTGTGTTAGTCCTGAGCCCTGTCTTCTTTCAGTACCCTATTTCAAGGGCCTTCCCTGATTGCCCCATGCACTCATGTCTTCAATCAGCAAAGAGTTTGCACAATGTAGCTTAGATGAGGACACCAATCTAGTACTTAATAGCAGTGATGAAAACGGCCCCTGGTGCCAAGCACTGTCCATTTTCATCTGGTCATTTTTTCATTCTTTTCCTTAGCATTGTATTTGTTTATTTTTTACTTGCTTTTTATGTATTGTTTTTTTGTTTGTTTGATTCCTAGTCCTTTAGTCCCATCTTTGAGAAAGGGTACTGATTATTTGGGGTATACTTATTGAAACAGATGTTACATGTATCCAAGCAGCTAAAATGCAGTGGGTTGGGGTTGACAGTGTTTCTGACTTAGAGCTTTGCTCCTTTTCCTAGGGATGAAGTCAACAAAGCGTACCGGAAGCTGGCTGTGCTTCTTCACCCAGACAAATGCGTAGCACCCGGTAGCGAAGATGCCTTCAAAGCAGTTGTGAATGCCCGGACAGCCCTCCTGAAAAACATCAAGTAGGAAGTAGAGAAAAAGACAAATGTGAGACTCAAGTGCAAACAGACTGTCCGCAGAGGTGAAATAACCAACGTGGATTTTGCCTCCACAAAAATCTTACCGCTTTTTTCATTCATGTGTTATCATTTGCAAATCAATAATTCAGGTGCCCATTACCATTTCCTAGATATTTTACAGAGAGATGCTCTACATTTGTGTGAAGTGAAGAGAACCAAGCTTCACTATACTTATTCATTTAATACTTCTAGATAATCTATATGTTTTTTTTTTTTCTCATTCATTCGTAAGCTCTGTAATTAGGCAATTTTCTCAAGAAAGTTCAGAAGGTTTCTGGAGGGGAAAAAACTCTTTCACCATTTTTTTTTTTTAATTATCAGAGAAGAAGACAACAAAAATGGAAGCAGACAATATCAAAATTCCTGCAAGTTTGTAGTGTGACCTCACAAGCAAGTTATTTCTTTTACAATGAGTTCCTTAGGTGGTACTATAGCCACTGATCTGTAATTAGTAAACTCTTGGCAGCCCTTTGGAAGTTTGTAATTCAGTTCTGAAGTGAACCACCCTTTTATGACAGCCACTCTGTTCCCTTCTCCAACCACCAGGGGGAGAGACAGGCCAGGCCACCACCAGGAGAGAAAAGGCAATGGCAGCCACAGATTCTGGGTAGGTGGGTTGCTGCTAGTCCTGCCCCTGGATATAGACATTCCTCTACCTGGGGAAACGGTTGCTGGGAGCAGTAGGGAGCACTGTGCACCTAGGAAACAGGACTCAGACCCCGAGACAGAAGTACTGCAGGCACACCTAGGGATTAAGCACACATCCCCAGAGGGAAAGGCCAGCCTGGTTCAGGGCCGTTTGAGGCACTGGGCAAGTCACCATACAAGGCTTATACTTTCTCTTATTTCTCCATCAGTTGCCACAGACACGTGGGAAAGGCAGGGCTGCCCCTCAACAAGCTGGGCCTCTGTCCTCGCTTCTTCATCAGTGGTGGTTCTCTCTTTTTTCCTTCTTCTTCCTTTCCCCAGTTGTTTGTGTTTGTGTGTTTGTTTTTATACCCCACACCTGCCGTCATTTTCTCTCTTCTTGAATCCCTGGCTTCCGGCCACTGCCTGTTTTGTCCTCCCTTGTGAACCTTGACCTGGGCCTGGTTAACCAGAGACACATAGACCCTTTGGGTGGTGGTGGAGGGAGAGAGCTGAAGGCATGGGTGGGGAGGAATCTGTGTAGTTTTTGCTTGGGTTCAAAAGTTCTGAATAGTAATATTTTTAAACTACAGATTATTAAAACTAATTTCACATAGAGCAGTAACATTCTCTTGCAATAGTTTCCTGTTTGGTACACAAGAGATGGGCAAATACCAGGTATTAGGACTGAATTTTTTTACATTGCTTATAGAACCAGTCTCACTACTTGACTCATTATATCATCACTCTCGTTACATACTCATATTTGTAGTTACATTCACTGGGGCTTTAACATACATGAAACGTTACTGTCCTGTGAATTGTAAACAGCTATCCCATATTGATCAACAAATAGCATCTTCCTTACCACCTAAGGAGAAAAGCCACTTTCACATAATCCAAGCCCACACATTCTTCTGGACTTTGTCCCTCTCCAGAGCAGCTTCACTTTGTGTGGCCATACTCTGGCTGCGTTGCATGTACTGTTTTCAGTAAACCAGAACATTGTGGGTTAAGTCTGAGTTTTCATCTTGGTGATACTGAAAATACTTTTTTTATGACTTGGGATCTGATACATGATTTATTGTGGGATTTTCCTCTGGCCTTTGAGCTAGCTTCTGGGACTGCAGCACTCCAAACTACTTGTTACAAAGTCCTTCTAGACCTAGCTTTTGCTTGAGGCTCTCATTATGCCTAAAGCAATCAAACAGATCTGACTCTTGCGACAGAACTTAGAAGTCTGATGAATGAGGAGATCGTGCACGGCAGTGTCAGCCCAGACTGGCCTGACAGCGCACTGAGTAGATGGCCCTGTGCAGAAAGCTGGTACAGTTTTTATCACTGTTATACTAGATCAGTCTCCTCATCCAAGTTACATTGTGCAGATGAGCAATCATAGCAGAGTTCTTTAGTGCTTCCATTCATATCCTTGTATCATAAGGATATGACTTGTTGAAATTTAGATCTTTATTCTTGGGTCTTAGGACTTAGTTTCCAACACCTTCATTATTGACAGTAAGGATGGCCATAAACTGCTTCATTTATGTAAAAGGAAGAAAATAAGAAAGCTAAGCTATAGGGCCCTAGAATTTTTCTGTTGTCAATAATCCTTGAGCAGATCATTGAAATAATAAAGCATGATTTGCAATGAAAAGTTTTTTGGGTACTAACTTCATGCAAAACTTCATAGACTTCTATGCATTAATTTAAATTCTCGATGCAGACATGTACCCTGTAGTTCAAGCTTATTAAAATTCTTCAGCCAGTTGGGGTTTCAGAATACATCCCTGAGAGGAACAGTTAGCAGAATAATATTAGTGGTCAAAATTTTTTGTTAGAGAATCTTGTTTTTCAAAAAAAGAAGAAAAAGTTTGAATAGCTATTATTCAAGAAAAGCCATTTCTTCCCCATCTGAGTCACCAAGAAGTAACACTTTTTAAACTTGTTAGAAATCCCAGGAAGCATTTTAAATTAATCGACCAACCTACTTAAGCACTTTAAAATACACCCTCCTATTGTTCCTCTGTTCCCCCTTTTATGCCTCCTTTTGAATTAATATTCTCATTGCAATTTAACTGTCAATGTTTCTTCTACTTCAGCATTGTTGTTTCATTGTTTTACATGAATGTGTCCTTGGTTTTGTTAACCTGTTCATTTGGAAGTTCAGACTTGGGGTCATTGTGCTGCTACCCAAGATAAATCTCTATAATTCTATAAATTACACATTATTTGTTAAGGCTTACATTTACCTCAGGAAATTTACTCTAGTAAGTTCTCATATATTTCATTCTCAACTAGTAAATGTTTCTTTAGACCTATAAACTAGCTCCTAGTTCACTGTTAGTTAAATGAGCCATAGATAAGGCAGGTCAATTTCTGAAAGAAAGCCAGGGTAAGAATGCAGCTCCTGTAAGCTCTGAATCAGTAGTGAAGTCGCTGTTCCTCAGGGAACAATGACTAAATCAAGAGAGGGAGGGAGGTATTTCAGTCTCTAGTCAAAAAGGGTAGAGCTGTAGCTGTGTGCACATTATCTCTAACAATGCCCTTCTTACAAGTAACTCAGTAGGCACTGCAAAGTCATTTCCTTCTCTACTGTACACACTTCAGTTCACTCTGAGTCTGCCAACGTTTTTGCAAAACTTTTGAAAATGAATTTAGCTGCGAAACATAGCCAAGCACCTTCCATTGCAAGTTTTGCAAAGTGAAGAGAGATTTGTACTTATCATAAGTGGTATTCAGTACAGTTGTAAAACACAGTTAATGCTGTTTGTACATTGGTTCTTCCATGAAACATTTATAGAGAAGAAAAAATTTAAACTTGTAATGTGGGTAAGTTAGATTGTGTCTAAAAAGCAGTGCAATATGTAGCTGTGCAATAAAGGCCCTGTTGGTGAAAAGACTTTTGTTGAAAAGCTGGATGGTTTTATAAGCCTCCTGCATCGATTGCTCTCCAGGGATTCTTCCCCCTTTTGACTGTGAATGCAGAGTCTGTAACTAAACCCTTTGCTCTTAGAAAGTAATTTACGTATTTGCTTTCTGTTGAAATAACTGAAAATGTTAAATCTACCAATTGTTTGTCTTGTATAGAGAGTGTCATATGTATTTAAGTCGTGTATTTTTATAAAATAAAGCCAAATATCAAACACTGTGTGGGGGATGAATTTATATGTAGAGGCGCTGATCTTTAAAACATACTAGGTTAGAAGCCAAGAAACCAATCTAGTTCCTCACCAGTTGTGATCGTAGATATCTTGCCTTAATTTCCCATCTATAAAATGGAGGAAATGTTATTCACCAGTCCATCAGGCTATTCTAACTTTATTTAAAGTTGTGATGAAATTGTTTTGATCTCTTTTAAAGAAAGATACTAATATTGTTTTTGCCTTTTTAATTCAGATGAAACTGTTGTTAAATCATTCCATTGGTTTTCTGTGGCTGCCATAAAAAATTATCACAAACCTCGTGGCTTACAACAGAAGTGTATTCTCTGGAGGCTGTAGGGGAGAATCCATTTGCCTCTTCCAGCTTCTGGTGGTTCTGGCTTCCTTGGACTGTAGGCACGTCCCCAATCTCTTCCTCCATCTTCATATCACCTTCTCTGTGTGTATGTCTTCCTCACTACACTGTCTGCCTGCCTCAAATCTCCCCCTGCCCTTCTCTTATAAGGACACTTGGCCTGATGGAGCAGCCGAAAGATGGGGTGCAGAACTCAAATTCTAGTGAGAAGACCAGACTTAATCGTCTGACTGAGACTGGAGGTGCCCCAGAAAGTATGGCCCCTGGATTCTCTATCAGCCCAGAACTAAAACAATTTCTGAGGCCAACTCTTCAGACAGGGATTGGACTGAACTGTGGGACATAAAGTGATACTCGTGAGGCGTGTGCCTCTTAGCTCAAGTAGATAGAAGAGACCAAAGGGGCAGCTTCTGTCCAGAGGTGAGATGGAAAGGCAGAGAGGGTTAGGAGCTGGTTGAATGGACATGGGGAATCAGGGACGGAAAGGAGGCGTGTGCTGTTGCAGAATGGGGTGAGCAATCAGGGTCACATAACAATCTATGTATAAAATTTTGTATGGGAGAGTAACTTGAAATGTAAACTTCATTTAAACTACAACAATTAAAAATATATATGTATTTTAAAAAAACAGAATTCAAATCGTGTCACCCAGTGATTGAATAAATACATGGAGCCAGAATTAAAAAAAAAAAGGACACTTGTCATTGGATTTAGGACCCACCCGGATAATCCAGGCAAACAGTTAAGCACTTGACTACTAGCTGAAAAGTTGGTGGTTCAAACCAACCCAGAGGCGTCTGAGAAGACAGGTCTGGGGAAGAGCTCTGAAAGGTCACAGCCTTGAAAACGCTATGGAGTAGTTCTGCTCTCCACACATGGGTTCACCATGAGTCCAAATCGACTCTGGCAATCAACAACCACCACCAGATAATACCGGATGATCACTTCATCTCAAGATCCTTAATAACATCTGCAAAGACCTTTTTTTCCAAATCAGGTAACATTCACAGGTTCAAGGGATTAGGACATGGATATGTCTTTTGGGGAGCCACCATTTGACCCACTGCACTTATTTTAGTGCTGATTTAGGCTGACTAAACTAATAATTCAGTTAACTGGTCCCAGGACAACAGAAATCCTTCAGCAGGGCTATAGTGAGCCCAGAATTAGAAAGTGAGAGCCGGTAGGGCCAATTCACAGAAGGCAGTCTGTCTCTGAAGGATTCAAACAAGAGGAAAAAACTTCACTTTTTATCATGTTTATTCTTACATACGTTGGTGTAGCAGACATTGATTGTTTTATCTGTCCAGCCCCCCCTCTCCTGACTAATGGCCCACCCCTCCTTTGGGGATCTGCTCTGTCCTCTCCACCCTGCTAACATGTTCTAAAGGGGAGCTGCCAGATGCCTATGTGACCCACTATTCCTGGCCACAGAGAAAGGCCCATGAGACGGAGTGTCACCCAAGCTGAACCAGTCAACACCCTTCCCTGCAACCTTTCTACTTGGAGCTAGAAAAACAAATTTCCTTTCAGGGAAGGTATGTGTCCTGCTGATGCTGCAGCCTTGGTTCTACCCTCATGGGAAAAAAAGAAATGAGAACACGAAACAGACATTCAGAGAGAAATGGAGTCCTGAAGGCTTCAAGACTTTTCTGCTAGTCCCTGCCGTCCCTGAACTGATTGTTCTTCAAGCCCATGAGCCACCCCTGAATCCTTCTGCTAAACTCCCACCTCTTTGTTTTCTGCTTCAAGTGCAGTGGTTAAGAGCTTGTCTGCTGACCAAAAGGTCAGCAGTTCGAAACCACCAGCCACTCCTTGGAAACCCTATAGGCTGGTTGTACTCTGTCCTATAGGGTTGCTGTGAGCTGGAATCGACTCAACAGCAATGGGTTTTGGTTTTCTGCTTGTTGGTTGGAGTTTAGTTCTGTTACTTGGAAGAGTATTAGAGAATAACAGCTACCAAAGATCATAAGCAGGAAGGAGAAAGCTGTGGCTTATAGATGGGTACAATATTTGATAAGTACATTAAAGCATATTTATTTTATAAAAATATCCAATTACTTGGTATTTCTCAAGAACTGGAGTCTTTGATTACATAAGCCTGTGTTTTAAACCAACAGTGACCAGTTCTAAACTGAAAAGAAAAATCAGGCTTATTCAGTTTGTTTCAGGGTCAATTTAAGATACATAGTTTCGTCTAGCTTTTTAGTTTCCATTTGATCCATTGCTTCTCAGAGACACCTCTAGTTTCTTAGATTTTTAATCAAACTTTATTATTCACATATTCATTAAGTATTTATTGAGCATCCACTATGTGCCAGGCCCTGTTCTAGGCACTGGAGATACAGCAGAACACAGAACAGACAAAAATCTCTGCACTATGGAGCTAACATTTTCGTGTTGTTATTTTCCTTTATTTGTGAAGTTGTGAAGAGAAGTTCTCCTATAGACTTATTTCTGAATAGCTAAAGTCAATCAGAGGCAAGTCTGCATTTTTTTGCAAACTCTTCAAGATACGCAATTTTGCAGTTAATATTCTATTACTACACTGAAGATAACATAGGTTGTTCAAATGCTGTATTAATTTTTTTTTTTTTTTAGAACCCAACCATGATAGTTATGCAAGGCTCAGTTTTTCATGTTGACCTGGAGGAAATAGTTCTAGCTACTAGGAGTTTCTTTATATAACGTTTTTATATTTTTAATGAAAATAATATATTCTTCCAAAGAAATTTATAAAGTTGTATTCATTTTGAGGGACAGTATCTAGAATATAAGTTTGTTGCTTTAATCAAATAAACAGTCTATATCCATGAAATCCCGCAGTTAAAATTCTAATCAGTTGACTGTTCTAAAAGAGGCAATAACTTCGAGAAAATAATGTCTCCCTGCACCCAAAACAGCTCATTTTTTTATAATTACAAAATGAGCAGATGCAGCCCACGAAAGCATTTGTACCAGGGAAGAAAGTGAGTTTTCATAAGAGGAAAAGTCTCCTGAGACAGAGAAATTAAGGTGAGAGGTACCTACGTGCCTCAGATCACAGCATGTGACCATTCTGCTGACTTCAGAGTATAAGAGAGAAGGAGAGGTTAACGGAATAAATACTAAAGAGGGAAGGCATCTTGATGGTGTGGAAGGAAAATAAAAGAGGGAAAAGAAAGTGTCTGTATTCTGAATCTTAAAAAAACCAAACCCACTGCCATTGACTCAATTCCGACTCATAGTGACCCCATAGGGTTTCCAAGGCTGTAAATCTCTTCGAAAGCAGACTGCCACATATTTCCCCTGAGGAGCTGCTGGTGGTTTTGAACCGCACCTTTTGGTTAGCAGTTGATCGCTTTAACCACTGCACCACCAGGGCTCCTTCTATTCTGAACAGCAGGGAGCAAATAGAAATGCCAGACGTGTATTTTGAGTACACTCTAACCTGGAACCCGTATATATAAAACAGTTAAAAGCAACATTTTATTTGGAAAATATGTAAGTTTGAACGTTTAACATCAAGAAAGACATTACTGAAGAGGCCGGGAAAAATGGCGCTCTAGGCAGAAGCACCATGCCGTCCCTCTACAGCAAAGATCCGAAAAACTAAGCCGAACAGAGAATACAACAATCCTGAAACCCTAAAACATCAAATGAAGAGATAAAGAACTCAGC